TGTTAAAACCACTGAGCTATCCCTCCATCCAGCACCTTTGTCTGTATTGCCCCGTGACTGGAAGACACTGCATGCTCCTTTAAACTACCTTAAGGACTAGCTAATATTGCTGCATTCTTTGCACATAGATTCCATTACTGAACTCTGCTTGCTGAATTGGAAATGCAGAACATGTACTGCAATGTTAACTCCCTGTGTTGGGAGGGATGAACAGCCAACTGTCCTCTGTTCATAGCTCAGATCAAGGTGCGAGAAGTAGGCCATCTTTGGCTTTTTCAATCGCCTAAAGTTTTGGATGTTATCTTTTTATTTTACGTAAGATATGGACTGTGCCACTCTCACATCAACACACTTCCTTTGCATTAGAAAACCACTTACAGATATCAGAGTGAGGTAACATGACTACATGAAGGTTTTGATTGCCTATAGTCTGCTTAATGCAATCACGAACTTTAAGGATATAAACAATATAAATCCAGACAATCTGAGGAATCAACAATTGTTCTGAGTCCCAATCCAGAATTTCAATTATTATATTTTATTTTATTGTCATTTAAAATAACTTCTAAAACAATCAAGTGAATATTTCCAGAATACTTTTATTCAACTCTTATTTTTAAAACATCTTTCTTCCGATGATCTCAAAGCACTTTCCAAATGTTTAATGAAATTATTCGCAAACAGCACTGTGAGGTAGCTAAGCATTGTTTATCACCATTGTATAACTTGAAAGGAAAAACTGGAAAACTTAAGACCAAAGTTTTTCAAAATGGACATTGATTTGGGATGCTTCCATGACTTGTTTATCCAACTGATACCTAGGTATCTGAACATGCAAGATTAATGGACACTTCTGAAAATATAGGCCAAAATGACTTGTATATTAGAGTATGTCCACACTACCACCCTAGTTCGAACTAGGGTGGTTAATGTAGTCATTCGAAGTTGCAAATGAAGCCTGGGATTTAAATATCCCGGGCTTCATTTGCAGCTTGTCGGCGCCGCCATTTTTAAATCCCCGTTAGTGCGGACTCCGTGCCCGTGGCTACAGGCGGCACGGAGTAGGTAGTTCGAATTAGGCTTTCTAATTCAAACTACCATTACACCTCATTCCACGAGGAGTAACGGTAGTTCGAATTAGAAAGCCTAATTCGAACTACCTACTCCGTGCCGGCTGTAGCCGCGGGCACGGAGTCCGCACTAACGGGGATTTAAAAATGGCGCGCCCAGCAAGATGCAAATGAAGCCCGGGATATTTAAATCCCGGGCTTCATTTGCAACTTCGAATGACTACATTAACCACCCTAGTTCGAACTAGGGTGGTAGTGTATACATACCCTATGGTAGCCTATGAAATGAGGAGCTGAGATGTGTAGGAGTTCTGATTTTTAGTGACTTGATAGAACCATTGGCAACTACCCCTCTTGTCTTCATGTTAATAGTTCTCTCATTATTAAACCTTGAAGATAATGCCAATCAGCTAAAGAAAACATGGGGATTTTGATAACTGACACAGCAATGGCCCAATCCCTGCATTCCTTGTGTGCCCCAAACTTCTATTCTACAAGGAATACTAGATCATACCTTCAAATGGTAGGAGTTTATTGTAATACATCATGTTACTGTGTAATATTAGGCAAGAGACCAAATTTGGAAGACATTACTGAATCAAATACTTTTGAAGTTATTTTTCAATTATGATGATTTATTGTTCAGGGTAATAGGTTAACTAGGACTACAGTACATAAGTAAAAAGTAGACATTTCATCCAGTATACTGACCAGTTAATAAATAATACTACCATAGGCTTGGCGAACACAATGATTTTTTCTCCAAAAAAACATATTTAGTGTTTTTATACTGTGTGATGTGAATTCTCAAATATCGACAATATTTAAAAAAAAACTTTTTTAGTCAGTAGTGGACCCTGCATTTACAGCAATATTTCAGAAATCTTAAGTATTAGAAATTCTAGTCATTTTTTTCTTTTCAGTGTATGAACTGTGAAGTCATAAAAAATTAGCAAATTATGTTCTTCAGTACCATTCCCTAGTTTATAAACAGACACAGAAATAAAATGTAAATGTGCTATATCTAGAGAAGAAGATAAGGATCTTGAAATGTAGAATATTTATAAAATGCTGTAACTTCAGTTCTGTTTTCCTGGTAAGTATCGTCAAATCCCCCTTATACAAATATAACTTACTCATTTGTACAGATTTTTTAAAAAATACCCTGCCTGAGAGATTTTATTACTTGGAAGTTAGGCACAGAAGGTAAGTAGAATCTGTCTGTAGAACAAAAGGACTGTCTTCAATTTCAGGATCATCCCCTCATTTTGAGAAACTTGTGGGAAGAAACAGGGAGCTAGAATACTCCATGAATTTGACTTTGTAATGTTCCCTGCCACCTGTTCCTTCAGTTAGGCATTTTAGGGCCACTTAGTGGCGTGGGAATACAGCCTTTAATTCCTGTGGCCCTGAAGAAAGGGAAAGGAAACTTCAATTCTCCAGCCAGTCTCTCCATGCTGTTTGGTGGATGGACAAATGCCAGCAATGGTCAAGCACGCTGCAGGTGAATAAATCTCTTCCCCCCACTCCACTCCTGCATCCCTACGCAAGAGAAGGGCTTCTATAGAGTTTGAATTAACGCTGCATTAATTTAAATGCAGCTATCTATTACCATTGCAGGGCAGAGAGTAGTTCTTTCTCCTTATCCCACGAGACAAAATTCCCTGGTTGCATATGGGGCCTGTGTGGCATCAGGAAAGGGCCTGTGTGGCATATGGGGCCTGTGTGGCATCCATAGTGTTCAAAGTGAAGGAGCACTTCTAGAAGTGGAGATCTTACTCTTAGTACTTGTGGCTTCCATTTTCTGGTGATTAAACTTCAATGAGCAACTTGGAATCATAGGTATTAGAAATGGGAAAAGGCCTGTTGGCTCAGCTAATCTCTTTCCCCACTAATGCAGGTCTGTTTGTACATTACATACTCTGGTGTGAAGTTCTGCATTTTCATAGTTGAGCTCCTTGACAACTCTTGAGTGAATACCATCTTGTCCTGGTGAATTATACTGCTTAATTTGTTCAAATGATTACTGACACATCCATCTAGGACAGTTCCTCAGATCTGAAATATGAGAGGTACGAGTATTTCCCCCTATCCTCGTCAGTGAGGACCAATGCAAAGAATTCATTTAGCTTCTCCGCAAAGATATTGTCTTCATTCAGTGCTCATTTAACAGCATGACTGTTCAGTTGCCCCACTAATTATTTGGTAGGCTTTCTGCTTTTGATATACTTGAGCTTTTTGCAGTTAGAAGAACTAGCTAAATACGCAAAAAGCTTTCTTACCTATCTATAAGAATTTTTAAAAAAAGTTTCCTGAGGGACAGAGTGATGTCATCACCTCACTCTGCATCCCATAGCCCCTCCTCCCTCAGCTGCCATGCCTCCTAGGGATTGGCAACCCAGGGCTCCGGAGCAGCAGCAGCACGGAAGGCAGCCTCAGAGGTGTGCATTGGAGCTACGGAGCCTCAGGTGGGAGGGTGTGTGTGTGGAAGCCTTGGGGGGCTCACGGGAGCTGTGGGGGCTTGGAAAGGGGTGCACTGGAGCTGCCAGAGCTCAGAAGAGGAGAAGTGGCACATGGGAGCTACACAGCCTCGCCCCGCGCAGCAGGAAGGAGAGGGCTGGGCAATGCACTCCCTTACCCCTCCCTGCCAGAGGGAGAGGGCCAGGCCAACTTGCCCCCTGGTGACCAGAGAGAGAGAGAGCTGGGACAGCCCCAGCCTGGGTCTGGACCAACCTTTCCCACCCCCACCAGCTGGAGATAGGGAGAGCCAGGGCAGGTCAGAGCTGCCATGCCTCGGCCTGGTCCTTGTGGGCGGCCCAGGGGAGAGCTGGGGCTGCCTATCCCCGCAGAGGGGGGTTGGTAAGCATACAGAGCAGGGGACACTTCCCCCTACTCCTCCTTTATTATACTTTTACGTTTGGCAGAGCTTGTGCTCCTTTGTCTCTTCCTCAGTGGGACTGATTTGCTTTTGGAAAGATGCTTTTTTGCCTCTAACTACCTCTTCTATTCTGCCATAAAGTCAGGGTGGCATTTTTTGTTCCTCTTGCTCCTTTTTCTGTTTGGGGTATACACTGAGTTTGAGCCTCTTATGGTGTTTTTAAATAGTCTCCATGCACTTTATAAGCATTTCTCCCTCATAACTGGTTCTTTTAATTTATATTTGACTAGCTCTCTCATTTTTGTATAGTTCCCTTTTTGAAGTTCAGTGTTACTATGGTGGGTATCTTTGGCATTTTTCCCCCTACAAGGATGTTTATATTTAATTACATTATGGTTGCTATTACCAAACAATTCAGCTAGATTCACTTCTTGCTTATGACAAAATCAAAAATTGTCTCTCCCCAGGGGTGTTCCAGGACTAGTTGCTCCAAAAAGCAAGCCTTTAGTGGGTCTGGAAAGTTTTTCTCTGCATCCTGATCACTGAAGATGATTGAAATTCTTTTATTATTGCACTTTCTGCCTTTGTAGTAGGGCAGTCAAATGATGAGTCACAATCAGTATTAATCACACTGTTAAACAATAATGGAATTCCAATTTAAATTCATTATAATTATTTTGGATGTTTTCAAATATAGTTTCAGTTACAATATAGAACAAACTATATAGTGCTGTAGGTCCTACCTGTACTTTACCTACTTCTCTCCTATTCTCTTTACTAGGATATAGAGTTCCCTTTTAATACAAATTCATCCCTCTGCCTAAACCAGATTATCCTTCAGACTTTTGGCATTCCCCCATCCCTTAATTTATTTAAAAAATTTCTATAGTCTTTTTAATTTTATGCCGGCAATCTGGTTCTGTTTTGGTTTAGGGAGAGTTCATCCTTTCTGTAGGCTCCTCTTTTCCTAGAAGCCACACCAGTTCCTAATAAACCTAAATCCCTTTTCCTATGCCATCATCTCCTGCAGTTCTGCTTGTTTTCCTGGCCCTATGCATGGAACTAGAAGCATTTCAGAGAATGCTACTCTAGGAATTCTAGACTTTATTCTTACCTAACAGCCTATAGTTCAGCCACTCCAGGCTCAAGAGTCCCTATACAGTCTCTCAGGGCCATAAGTTGCTTGCACTGAAAACAACATATACCATCTGCCCACAAGGCAGATAATTGTATATGTTGCATCCTATGCAATAAACTAAGTACAGTAAAACTCCAATAGTCCGGCATCCAATAGTCCGGCACTCCTGATAGTCCGGCATCAAAATGGCAAGAGCCTAGTGAGTGAGCTTCGGCAAAAAATGAGTCACAAGGTAACAGCAGCAGCAGCTGAACTGAGCAAAAAGGGTAAAAAAGGCTTAAAAAAACTAAAACATTACAGTATACTGTATATAGTATGTATAATAAAAAGGGCTAGGAACACTTTATATACAATATATAATGTATACAGTATATATATAACCATCTTATAGTACCTCCTGATAGTCCGGAATATCTGATAATCCGGCACCACCTACGTCCCATAGGTTCCAGATTATCGGAAGTCTACTGTAGTTCCCTCTGCTGCTGGACTGCTGCCTATATTATTTTCACTCCTGCAGAGTTTGTTTATGACCTGCATTTAGAGAATGTTTGTAAGATGTAGAAGATGGTTTGATTTTTCTTTTCCTTTCTGTGTTTTTTCTAGAAGCTTTCTAGCATGCTTCCAAATCGCTCAGGCTCCTCTTCCTGCCACTAAGCTCACTCTGTCCCATGTGGGGCATCCATCTCAGAGATGTAGCACTCCATGAACTCTTTGCCAAGTTAGCTATTGAGCATTCTGAATCTCTCTTGTTAAAGATGCCGGAACGTGGACAATGGTACTGTTTGAAACACCAGTATTTTGCAGATTCCTGATCCTCGATACAGATGCCTGATCAATCCCAGGGCACTTTCTGCATGAGAGGTAGACTTAGAAGGAATTGCTTTCGGACAGCAAGAGCAATCTAGACTTGTGAGTGGGCCCCAGGAGTGGCCCTCCCTCTCAGCAGGCCTCAAGATTGCTGTAACCAAAGTGGTCTCTCAGGATAGAATAGTTTTGTTAACTGCAGTGGTGTGCCTAGAATTTGTGGGGTTTGCTGATTGCACTGCTGCAGCAGGGGTGGCCCATGAGCCTAGGCGAACTAAGCAGTTGTCTAGAGTGCCGCTGGCCCGGGCGCCCGATGAGGACATCACGGCCATTGACGGCTGTGCAGGCAGCCTGCGGGCGCCTGCTGCCGCAGCCGGCCTCGAGCTGCGCCTGTGCAGCAACACTTAAAGTGGATGCAGAGGGAGCACACAGCTCTCACGGTCAATATTGCGTGCAATTAGCATACAGCTCACTTCGCATGCTGTTGCTTTACATGTGTGTCACTTTAGTAATATTGGTAGGAAACAAACACTGCTGATTTATGTCTGTGTAATTGGGCAATCCTGCTCTTGAGAAACAGTAAAGAAAATGTCTTGTGGGCCACACATAGGATCCCAATGGGCTGCATGGGGCCTGCAGGCCACCGGTGCTCCAGGAACTTCCTCACATAACTCCCCAGTTTGCTACTGGTGGTCACTTACGAGTGGCTTTTTAAACCCCTGCTCCCAAGGAGACAGCTCCACAGCCTTGTTAAGGGATTTGGGCATCAGAATAGCATGCTAGAGACTCATTAGAAAGCTCTCAGCCTACCTGTCCACTTGTCTCAGCATACAGCCCCCTACAACATCTCTAAAATGTACCCAGTGCGTGATGTAGTTCATTTCAAGCCCATCTATATAAATACGAACTAGGTACATTTCAAATACAACTTTTGCACCTTAGGCTGTGTCCAGACTCAGGGTTTTTTTCGAAAAAAGTAGCCTTTTTTCGAAAAAACTTCACCTGTGTCTAGACTGCAGCCGCGTTCTTTCGAAATTAAATCGAAAGAACGCGGCTTTTCTTTCGACTGCGGTAAACCTCATTTCACGAGGAAGAACGCCTTTTTTTGAAAGTGCTCTTTCGAAAAAAGGCGTTCTTGAATGCCAACAGGGCTTTTTAGAAAGAGAGCATCCAGACTCACTCGCTGCTTTCTTTCAAAAAAGCGGCTTGCTTTTTCGAAAGTACTGCTTGCAGTCTAGACGCTCTTTTTCGAAAGAGGCTTGCAGTCTAGACATAGCCTTAGAGACCAACAAAAATATATAAATAGTATCATGGGCTTTCATGGGCACAAGCCATTTCAAGAAGTGGGTTGTGCTCATAAAAGCTCATGATACTATTTATATATTTTTGTTAGTTTCTACAGGACCATTGTTGTTAAAGTTTTTTTAATTACAGACTAACACGGTTATCCTCTGAGACTTAGGCCCATTTCAGAATATACTAGCCGGAGCAGTTAGAGTACAACACAGAAGTGTATTTACAAATATACTGGCACCTTTCTGATGCTGCTTGTTGTATAGACAAGCCCTAAACTAAAGTGGTTGAGTTTTCAGTAATTTCTGATTATAGTCATAATTGCACAGTGTTTGGTCAAAGTGGATATATCTATCTTTTTGACAGGATGTCTCACTGGTTAATTAAGAGGGCATATCCAATTTTAAACTTGTTGCCTTTTTAATTTTGAGGATTTCCTTGCTCTTGTTAATGAGGTAATATTAATAGATGTTAAAAATACGCCTTCACTATACAGCGTGATTGAGATTGCTTTCATTTAGTTTGCTTTCATTTTTACAGATTGGGATGATGAATTGACTTGCTACGCAGAGAGAAAAATAAGTCTATTTTGCTCCTGGTTGCCTGTCCCCCGTGCTCTCCAAACTACTAATTATACAATCATTTTAAAGTGGTAAGTTTGAAAGATGAAGACTTTCATTGTTGCTTGGTGGGTTTCTTTGTGTTCTGACTTTTAATGGGAGAAGCAAAGAAGCAATCAGATTCTAGACAGTTAAACACTGAAGGTCAAAGTCTTCCGTCAGATTTTGTATTCATATGCAG